AAAAAAATAAAAATCAAATTCTGCCAAGCCTATACATATTAAATAGTTAGCCATCAGACAAATTAACTCTAGAAATAAAAGGAGTTTTGGGTGAAAGCTCCAGAAATCACTTCTGATAGGGAAAGAACCCAGTCTCATAGCAAGAAAATAGAAGCAACTGGGACTGCAGGCCATGTTTTAATGCTAGCTATCAACATCCTGTGCAGTAAATACATTCCAAAAAGGTAACTTGGTTATCCTCCAGCTTCTCCACTACAAAACAACACGTTAGAATCCTTCCCTCAAGCGCCTACCAAAATTTCAGATAAACAATTATGGCAGAGGTGTCAAAAATATTGTTTGCATGCTGGAACCAGCTCACAGAGCTATTTTATCTGGCCTGCTGGGCTACTGGAAAAGGGGTGGGAGTTGGGGCAGAGAGGAGAATGAGGGACAGCATGGCCTTATACTGAATGGCCATTGGTGGCATAAGGGTGAAGGAGAGCTGCACTGCACTGACACAGCCTTGCTTGCTCTGCTGTCACCATCCCCACCACTGTCCCCGCTGCCATTCTGGGCTGGATCCAGCCTGAAAAGGAGTCCCGTAGTCTGGATCCAGTTTAGGGCACAGGATGAGTTTGACGCACCTTATTTATGGTATTAAATCACAGCCACTGCTTTAAATCTTCTTTTCTATCAGGCAAAAGAGGTAATGAAATAAATTTTATTTCAAAATGTAAGTATTCTTACTGTTTTTAGATCTCTACTTTCTATTTGCATTGTTACTAGGTTGCCTCTTCCAACTCTTTACCTGAAGGCTCTTGACAAGGTTTGGTGAATCTGAAGCACATCATTACATAAAGCAGTAAACTGAGCTTCGACTTTCTTCTACCTCTCAACTGGAGTGGGTAAAAGAAGAGTAATTTTCTATAATTCTATGTTAGAGTGAAACTTGATCACTAATATGGTAAAATAACAATTTTTAGAAATCACAATATATGCAATAGTTTAAGGTTTCAGTAAGACACACTACTTGGATTGACAGATTTGATTTGCAGCCTTACAATCACCTATAACTATTAATGGAATATTCCCACCTTCTGGTGTTACCGCACACTGAAAAACAACCTTGAAAAAAGTGCATCTTATACTTTTAAATGTCCAACCCCATGAAAATTAAGTACATTTAAAAAAATCTAAAATAATATACGTCTACAAATAGCAACAAGTATGAACAGTTGACAAACTGGCAGTTTTCCTCAGAATTGATCTAATCTTAAATTATATGACATAGCTACTATCTGTGTAATCTGAGTACTAGTTTTCTTAGTAGATATGGAATTAGATTTGACTAGAATAAAAAGCAAACATACATACTACATTGCAATTATCCATGTGGCTGTCATTTAAACCCTAAGCCTCTTTGAAATAACCATTAGAATAGTAAATAAACCTCAACAAAAAACAGCATGCTATTTTATGCGTGAAGATGTATTAGCTTTATGGTGGCTTGCAGGCACAAACAATTAGATTAAAGTCCTAGAAAATGAAGTGTTTCATAGATAAGTATTTTCTGCCCTTTGTTTTCATCTGGTGCAATACTGAAAACATCAGCAAGCTAATGTGGGTGGGTAGCTTTGGTCAATAAAAACTTTGATACAATATTTTTATTTTAGTGTTTCAGAGCTGGCATTGTAATCCAGTAAGCCAAAGCAATACAACATAAAGAGCCTCTTAGAGTGGGTCTATAGACATAAATTATGGAATGCCAATAAGCCTAATTTCTTCCACAGCTGTATTAAAGCGAAAATGTGTAACCTTCAGTGGGACTAGCTGTCTGGACCATACCATTACTTTGCCATTTTTTATCTCAGCTGCTTCTAACATTTACAGTACACTTTTTCAGGTCACACAGGAATCATAAAGCATTAACCTCTTTTTCTAGTGGTGTTGAGTCTCAAGTGCACATTCTAAAGCTAAATGATCTGCAATGGAGGTGGCTTTAGCAAATAAGCTCACAAAGCACAACGTTTAAAGATTTATCAAAAGATCAACAACTAAATATACTCAGGCTTTAGTGTACCCAAGTAAAATTACTAAATTGTTTCTAAATCAGCAACAAAACTCCACTGTGGCAAGCTTACATTCTAACATCATGAACTTTAACGAAATACAAATAAATTCTATGCCCTGGCTTGACAGTAACAGTTGGAGCAGTACTTTTTACTAACCAAAATAAATTAATAAATTATATTTATTTTGAAGTATCAAGGATCTTTTGGCTCCATTCTAAGGATCTCAAGGCTCTTCTATAGCACAGATGTTCTTCAGATTCTTATAATCACCCCACCAATTACTAATGTTACCCATGCACCTTTTGGTAACATTTTATTTTCCTTTTCTCTCTCTTTTTCTGAAAAATTAAATTTGGATTTTACTTTTTTCTTTTAAAAAGTTTTATTTTTTTTTCATCTGCTGATACTTTATTTCTGTTAGAGAAGACAAAGGCTGTGTATATACATTAAAATAGAGAAACTTGTAGAGAAACTTGCACAGAGCTACCTGTATAGACATTCGAATAACAAAGCCCTGAAGAGTGGAGAGCTTGCACTGTGCAGTCAAGGGGGACCTGTGCACACATCTCATCACACTCTGCAGGCTTCCATAGTTTTCCTGGCAACAGATCATGGCGATACATAGGGCAGCCCTGATTGGCTGACCCAGACTGCCCACAGTCATCCTGTTTTGCCCTATGGCACAATGGGGAACGTTCTGGACCAGCAGAATTCAGTGAGCTCTCTCTCTCAGGAGGAGGGGAAGAAGCTGGAGGACCATGTTCTCTTCTGAGAGAAGCCATACTATGTATAGACTTTTGCTCACCCAAGAGAAACTCTCCTGGGAGTGATTTAACCCTGGTTGCTCCCAGGTTATATTTCTTCTGGAATAGCCATTTTTACTCTAGAAGAAAAAGCCTGAACATCTGTACACTCATGGTCTCTTCTGGGAAAGCAGTGACTCTCCCAGGAGAAAATGAATGTCTATACAAGGCCAAAGTCTAAACAGTTTGCCTGCTTAGATTCTCCCTATGCCTGAGGATAGGTGTCTATGCCCTCAAGCTTGCAAAGAACAATTTTTCCAACTTTTCACTTGGTCTAATAAAAGATATTACATTTACCCAAAAAACCTTGTCTGCCTAAGCAGTTCATCTTGCACCCAGAATTAAATGTTGACAGTATTTGATTTGATTTGTTCCACATTTTAATCAACACTTAGGAAAAGTTCTGCACAAGTGACTTTCGCCTTAACCACCCAAAATAAGGTGAACCTCGCACCAACTTTATAAGGGGAAACCTGAATCATAAATAATATAAACGTTTTGCCCAGGTCACACAATAAATTGAGGGAAGGTTTCATAATAGTAGCTACATGCTTTAAAAAGGAAAGAATCTGGTGATTAAAAAATGTGTATGTAAAATATTATCTAGGTGGATTAGTAAGGCAATAAAACAAAAGGAAAAAATGTATTAGGGCACCAACAAAGACCTACCACAAAACTAAGACTTTATTACAGCTGCAGAAAGTTAAAATGGCTATTGTCTCCAAATCTTGATAAAACTAGAGTAGTATCTGAATTTCACATAAAGTTCACGATATGTCTAACATATCTACTGTAAGAAGTACTTCACTCTTTAACAAGAGCACGTAAGTGCCACCTTCTGGTTTGCTTGGAAGGGTTATAGTCTGAGATGATGAGTTTTTTTAACCCTATCTGAGTGTTACATTCTGTATGCAGTTAGAATTTCCACTTGGATCAAAATCTAGGTAAACCCCATATCGAATGCTTTTATGTTAATATCTTGCTATATACATACATACAGGTTACCAAAATATTACAGATCTCTAATACAAGTTTTTTTCCTCCACCTTCTCAGTAGGGGAGGATGTGGTCTTAAATTTCAGTCATCTTCCCAAATTAAACCTATTCTAAAGAGCAAACTTTTGCATACAAGTTTGGCACATCACAAACATGCATTTAAAAACAAACTACAACTTTCAGCTAAATCTTTTCTAACAGCTATGCATACCAGTCAAATTATACATCTTGAATGAAGCAAAAGAAAACAACACTAGTAAAATTTTCCCTTAGGGTCTGTCTCCACATAGCTTTCTAGAGTGCACATTGCTCAGACACCCCTTCAGTAACATAACAAGTCTTCTGACTGATTAAACAAATGTTACCCCACCATTACTTACTAGGATACTGTATTTATTTTAGACTCTAAGTAGAATCACCAAACAAAATTTAAAAAACCCAAATAAACCAGGCAAGGACTCTCACATCCTGGACCTCGTTATCACAGGTCTCAAGATTCATTGTTTCCTTTAGAGTCTAAAAGTAGGAGTAATAAAAAAAAAAAAGAAAAGAAAAACAGTCTACAATGTAAAATAACTACCCTTCCTAGCTATTTTGTAAATATTTATAGGAGTTGCCAAATATTTAAAGCTTTTATCATGTCTTGTCATAGTTAGCATTTTTTTTAAAGTTCCAATTCCTTGAGTCATCCATTTACAAGAGTTTCTAACCTTTATCAAAGGATACAGAAAAAGCTAGAAAATGTGCATTACTCAAAGCTCAAAAAAGGCAGAAACTTTTATTATTAAAAAAAAAATTCTGAACTACTCGGTGGGGGGGTGGGGGGAATTGGGTTAGAGGCATAATCTTTGGGGGTTGTACAATTCACTTTATACTGAAGCAGTGCCTAAAGGCATATGCAACGAAGCTAGAAGCCTTACTTATAAGCTAGCTATTCTATGCTTTCTAACTCAGAAAGATGATACAGCTCGTAACAGACAGATCGGTAAGATCCCGTCGAACCAATCTAATAGAGCAGAGGCAGAAATAACAGGATTCCCTTTGCTGAGGCACCAAATGACCAAGAAGAGTTCCTTTTGTAATCTCACAGGTAGCACACCTTGTCACAATATATAAGAACAAGAATGATTTGTATGTATAGGCACTTGCACATTTAATTTCAGACTCATTATATACATCACTCACTAAATTTAAGATAAATGATAGCTCTGCAGACAGAAACCAAAATATTTAAAGAAATTGTAAGACCGCACAAAGTAATCTGAAAATTAAAATTATTCACGAAGACAGTATTTTGTTGCAAATATTTACTCAAAAAGTAATATTTACAGCAGTGTTTAATAGCTGTTCAAAACATTTAACATTCATTAAAAACAAAACTGAAAGTCAAAGCATTCTAAAGGATTCAAAAGGAGCATTTTAATTAAGTTTGTTAATATTTCAGAGCAAGCTACTGTTAATCATATTATGCATTCCAATACCTTGCTGCTAGCTACATAGCAAAAAAAACCCCAAAAATGTTTTTCACCAGCCATATTCTTGTACATAAGTTAGACTACAAAATGTCCTGAAATCAAATTGTACATCTCCGCTTTATATGCCCTTGATTTTTGTAACAGTTAGCAAGTAGCAGCTGCAAAAATGGCAGAATACATGCCAGTCTGTTTCCAGTTCATTTCATTTAAATTTCTACATTAAACCATACTTTGGTTTGACTTACAGGCCACTCTTATGGGTCTACCACTAATTAAAATCATTAAAACAACAGTAATGGCCTAACAGCTACAGTACTTTGAGCAGTATGTCCTACTTTATACAATGAGTACGTCAGGTATTTCTGCACAGCTTGCACACTGAAAAATCCACAAATATATATTTATATTGTAATAATTCCACTTTCACTGAAAGTTTAATTAAGATAAGCTTACAGCCTGGCAGAATTACACCTGTACAGAGGTGCATAGATTCATACAGTTCTGGCTACATGCTTTGACAGACAGGAATGTGACGTCAAATCCAAAGTGGGTTTATGTTTATCCAAACTCTCAGTAGACCAATGCACCATTGTGTGAGCATGCTCTATTTCAGCACTACAATCTCATTTATTTAAAACCTTGCTGTTAAAAGGATTCCTGCATGGGGACTATCTCATCTTTTCTTCTTGGCTAACAGCAGATCACCTTCACCTTACCCTAGGAAATATCACCGGAAAAAACGTGTTGTTTCCATTTTTGAGTGTCTCTTCCAATCTTTCGGATACATGTGAATACATGCTATACTTTATACATTTAGAAATTCAGTAATCTAGGTTGTATATTTGTATAAACTGCCTTCTTCATAAAAAAAAAAACCCAAAAATTGATCTCTTCTTTTTCTATCTCAATACTCTGATCGTCATCAATGAGCATACCCATCAAGAATGGCCCAAGGCATTGTTACCATTATTTATATTAAAGCTGAATAAAGGTTAATCTATATTTTCAGCTTTCTTCATTCTCATCCGTCTGGTTTACAGTTGTCTCTACACTGCTGGGACTGCTTCCTTTAGAAAAGTCATCCGTTTGTTCAGAAACCAGTCCAGTTTTCTTTGATGAAGATGTAACATTACCTTTCTGAAGTATTTCTGTAGCTTCATGCTCTAGTACCTCTGAGGGAGTCAAAGGCTCCAAATGAATACTGCCTTGTTCGCTAATGTCAGAACTAATAGATTCAGGTTCATCTCTTTTTCTTAAAAACTGCTCAAAACTAACATCTTCACCCAATGTCAGTTTTAAGTCCTTGGTGTTCACTGTTGAAATTGTAGTTTCACCCAAGCTATCCTCTTTATTCTGTTCATTCACGATGGCATTTTCTGAACTTGGAGAAGTTTTAAGTTCAGTTGTATCACAAGTATGCTTTTGTTTTTCTCCTATTACTTGATCACTGTTTTCTGAATCACAACACGGTCTTCCCTCACATGCTGAGTTCTTTAAACAAGTGTCCTGGAGCACTACATTGGAGGCATCTTCCGTATTTGACACTGATGTATTTTCTTCAATCTTTTCCACTGATGAGCCTCTTTTACTTTGATTTCCATTGCATTCTTTTGCTTCCTTTGAAGTGTCATTTGCTTGGCTGCTGGAAAAAAAACCCAAATAAACTTAGCATTCTTAGCTAACATAAAACTATTTTAATATACAGGTCCTACACTGCAAAGTTACTCTCTATAGAAATGACACTGTAGAGTTTCATATTTGTTTTGTCTTATCAACTTACATAGTAAAATGTACTCTATAATAAGTGTTTCCTTCTATACAGCCCTGCAAATTAAACCTTACATCTAATAGTCTAGTTCAGGGGTCAGCAACCTTTTACTAACAGTGGGTGGCAGATTGTGTCCCAGATGAAGGCACAGGCCAACATACCCCTTCCAGCCATTTCAGATGTCCCTGTTCTATATGGAAGGCTGCTCTTTTCTCTGCCTAATGCAGTGTCAGCCAAAAAACGTTCTGCTATAAAGTGTGGAGAACTAAAATTTGAGTGGATAATTTGCCAATAACATTGATCAAAGGCTGCAGTGCGGGCGAGATGAAGCTTCTGGAAGAAACTGGTGTGCTGTTAGTAAAATGTGGAAAGAGGAACATGGGTTGGACTGGACAACTGGGGATCTCTTAATAAACTACATACTGGATCAGACCCTTGTGGGTTGGATCCAAGTTCTCTGTGGGCTGGATCCAGTCTGCAGGCCATAGTTTGCCAAACCCTAGTAGTCAGTTTGGCTTCTTTCCTTCTTCTTGCAATTTAATACCCATCACAAAGGTGTAGCAGGACAAATAATGCCCTTCATTATACCCATGCATTCCCATTTCTTTTTTTCCAAACTGCAATCTGTGAGACAACCTATTCTATTGCATAGTCTCTACTGAACTAATGCAAATCTAACTATTTTCAACTTACTAAACAATTCTGAAGGTGACAAACAAAAAAGCCTGTTCATGCAGCATCTTGACCAACTGGCTCTGTGTAATGCCATCAGCAATAGAAACTTACTTTAATCATTAAAGTGAGCAACTGTGAACCTCAATTCCCACAAGCAGCAAAACATTTTACATAGTCACTTTTCAGAGTAAAACTGTATTTTTAATTAACCCAAATATTAATAATGTAAGCAATGTCAATGAGCAACTTACATAATAAATCACAAGTCATAGCACATAAGACACATCTTTAAAGGGTATTGGTTACACCTAGTTTTAATGCATCATTTTAAAAAATAGTATATACTCTTCTAAAACGGACAGGAAAATCAGAATGCTCCAAACAAAAACTAAATTATCTCTTCGGAACTCAGTTTATATAGAAAGTCAAACACCAACAGCACATTTGATTTTCTAGTCCTATCATTCAGTTTAATCTGATCATACATACTGATATATCACTGATTTAAGACATCCTTGTAAAAGTGCTTCCCATTTGTTATGGGACTACTTGCTTCATTGCTATACATGCAGTGAGGAGTTGTGTTCAGAATTTTATTTGTTCAAGAAGCTTCATTTCTAACATTTCTAGTCTGAAAGAAGCCAACACTACCTGAAAATGTTGATTGTGATGGATAAAGAAAAAGGGGAGATGGAAAACTTATACAGCTGGACTACTTGGAGGTTACTCTCAATTCAGTTTTTTAAAGTTTAATTTTAAATTGTAAATAATCTCCGTATGGCATGCAGCCATGGGATACACAAGGCATAACAGAATAGTAGGAAGTATTTTTGTATCAAAAAGCATTTGTATCATGTATTCAAGGAGTTTACAAATGACTTGAAACTACTTTTAGCTAAAATCACCTTTAATATTGGCTAAGCAATCCATGTAGACCATTGTTAAACCCTTAAAAATAATTGCCACTATTTGGATTGGTTGCCTAAGTCTAGCTAATACTGCTTTAGCATGAAGTAGCATAAAACCAAGTTTTAAACCTCTTCAGGAAACAGTTCAAATGCAGACCAACACCCAATGGCTTTTTATTTGTCTAGATAAATATCAGTTTAGGGTGTTGCGGTTCTCCTGAAACAACAGATAAATAAGAAATAACTGTTTTTCTGGTATTTTGTTTTTATAAAATTTGCAAACTGCAAATCCACACACATTGTTTTACAAACTTAGAAACAATTTCATTGATCCCCTGTAATAAATGACACTGCAGTCTAGCTGAATGCTAGAAGAAAATAAGTGTTATTTTAGCCTGGACACTACATGTTACACCAAAATTTAGAAGTTACTCTACTTTCAAGCTTTAAGTTAAATCATAAATATCTAATCAGCTTGTAATTTATATTGCATTTAAAAGGCAATAGGAATTGTTGTGCATAGTATAAGACTGACAGAAATTCAGCATTCAAGAACATTTTTTTGAAGTCAAGAAAAAAATAAGAGGCAATCAGAATTTAAGTTTCCCTATATTGTCACACCAACTTGTCCCATTCATATTCTGGAGGAAATAATTCAAGAGGTAATTCAGCCTTCATGCCCAACAAATCATCTTCTGCTGAAACTGTCTACGTTACTACTTCTTTGCCTTTACATTTATATATTTGAACACCTTTATATATTTAACATTTAGTTTACCTAAAATCCATAATTACAAAATAAAAATAAAAAGGATTCCAACCCTCCCAACTCTGCCAAGGCATGCTAGGAAGAGAGACAGACCTTGTAGAAGTTAGAGGATGAGAAGTTCCAGTCCAGGATCTTCCACTCAGAATGCCATGGCTAAGGATATTAAATGTCCCTTAGAATATTACATTCAGTGTACTTATTCTTCAAAACATTTGAGTCAATATAGTAGAAAAGAATAAATGACTAGGCCTGTGCAAAGTGGCTAGTATTCGCTTCGGATTCAGATTTGGCCGACTTGGGGGACATTGATTCGATTTGGTGATTCGAATCACTGTCCTGAATCAATTTGGCCGAATATGATTTGGAGATTCGGCTGCTGCAGCTAAATCTCCAAATCACACAGGCCCATCCCCTGCCTGTTCTCCCAGCCCCAGCAATGGCTGCCCTGCCTGCCCCAGCTCCTGGCACTTTGGGGAAAAAAAAAAAGCCCTGACTCACCAGGTGCTGCCCGGTCGGGGGCTGATCCCTGCTGCTGCCCACTGCCCTATGCTGTGTGGGGGGCTCTACACGAGCCCTCCGCCCACTGTCTCAGCCCCCCACCATGGGTGCCCAGCCCACCCCAGCTTCAGCCCTTTAAAAAAAACAAAAACAAAAAAACCCTGCCACTCACTGGTTCCTGCCCAGCAGGGGGCGATCTCCACTGCCCCCCACAGTGTGGGGGGGGGCTCTGCATGAGCCCCGCCGAAGCCCCAAGGCTGCTGCAGAACCCAGGGAGTCCGGGATTTATTTTTTCTTAAAGTGCTAGGGTGGGTGGAGCAGTCATGGGGGGACTGGGACAGCGGGCAGGGGTCAGGGGGTTCATGGCAGAGCC